CCTCTCCTCTCCTTTCCCCTCCCACCCTTCCCTCTGTCCCCTCTCCCTCGCCCGCTCGCCCCGCTCGCTCCCTCGCTCGCGCACACTCACCGGCCCCGGTCCAATTATCACATTCATCACCCGCAAGACACCGCCGCGTGTGTGCGCGCGCGTGTTCTCCTCTCCCTGCCGGCAAAACCACGCTCGGTCCCACTGCCCTCTGCACCCGCGTAAGTATCCTCGCCCCCTCGCCAGTCCCCTCCCCTTTTCCAGAATCACTTGTCCTGGCTTGTTCTTGAATGAGAAGAAAAGAGACGAGACTCCCATTACTCATACCCGTGTAAACATTTTTTTTTTTCCAGGAGAAAATGGTGTTATTTAAATGAATCATAATAAAATAGCCTCTAAACAGTTTCTAAGCAGGAGCCTCCGTGGAACTCAGCGCTCCGCTCCTCCCAGTTCCTAAGAGTAAGTGATCCGCTTGGTTTTTATTTCTTTCTCTTTCCTGCTCGTGGCTGGGGTGGTGGTGGCGATGGGGGGGGGGCGGTGCTGATACTGCTGGACTTGTCGCTGATCTTGTCACCTTTTGTGTACTGTTTCTGGGCTGTGAGGAGGCGTTTGCTTCCTTTCCTTCTTTCTCCTACCCTCTCTTCTCGGGAGAGAGGACCGCGAGGGGGACCGGGTCGCTTTTTTGTTCGCCTGGATCCCCTCTTTCCGCCAAGCCTCATCCTTCCCGTCTTCCCCGGTTAAAACTCCTGTGCTAGTCCCCTCGTCCTTTCTCTTTGTCTTGTTTATTATAGCTGCCTTTCTTCCAGGCTCTTCCAATTTGCTTGTCATTTGCATACCTTTCACTTCTCCTTTTTAACCCGGGCAGAGGGCTGGGGAGGAGGGAGGAGGGCAGAGGGAGGAGGAGGGCGCTCTGTTACTTTCCTCGCAAAACGCTGTCGACGGCGAAATGTTGAAATCGGGGTTGGAGCGGTGGAGAGATGGTCCCGGGAAACCAGCGCGGCGCCCCTCTCCCGAGCTCCGAGGACCCAGGGCTAGGTCAAGTTGAGTTGGGTAAGGAGGCGGCGGGAGCCTCAGGAGGTGGGGTGGTGGAGGGATGGGGCCCGAGCGCCGCAGGGGGACCGAGTGGTCGCGGGGCGGGGTGGCGGTAGGGGATGTTCTTGGGCTGCGGATCTGCGAGGCGAAGACTCTCACGGTCCTCGCTGGCAGTCCTGCGCTGTCGGGGCTGCTCGGATCTGCTCTTGCCTGGGTGGTACCTGCAGTTCTGCCCCAGTTCGGAGGACTGGGGAGGGACGAGAACAGAGGTGAGGGTAATTGTCACTGGGAAGAATGGTGAGGAGGGCGGGAAGAGCTGCTATCTTGGCGGAACAGACTAGGAGGGGGCGAGGAGGGGGGCGTTGGCGGGGAGACATCACCCGAAGTCCAGTTTAGCAAGTTGTTGGTTCTTCTGGCGGGCTAGCCACTTACCCTGCTAAAACTGAACGTTGGTGGAAAGTGTGGATTGGAGTTGGGGGGGGCGTGGAATGGCGGGAGGGAGGTAAAGGGGGAGTAGCTTTCGAGAGAGACTCACACGTCTCCCGCCACTTCTCAGCTTTTTTCGGGAAGTTGAGAGCCCTCCAGGCTGGCAGAGAAAGAGGAGGAGGAGGAGGAGGGGTTGGGTGATAGTCTTAAATAGCCCAAGGAGGCAGGTTGGAGTGTGAAACTGCTGTTCTTGGCAATCCAGAACCCTACTCCGCCTGGGGGAAGGCTGGGAACTCACCTGCTTGTTTTTATTTTTCCAAGAAGGTCTGTGTTGTCTCCTTGAGCTTATAAAAACAGTGCAAGCACAGGGTGGCCTTCTCTCAAAGTCAAGGCTATAAGTGTCTTGTTCTCTCTCCCTCCCTCTCTC